CACCGCATCCCTCCCAGCTCTTCAGGTACGTTGGGCACAACGTACCCTCCCCCGCCGCTCAGGTACATCGCACGCACAAGCCCCCACCGCTCTTTAAATACGTTGCGCATCATCAACGCTACCAAGAGAGTGGTGGAAAAATAACATCTGAGAAATCTTAATCGGTAGTGGAAATGTCGGGTTTTAAGAAAATGTTAAATGTAATAGAGCCTCGTTACATTATTCCTTCATAAGCCCATTTCAGTCAGATAATTCCTGCTTTCAGATCCACTAAAATGGCATGTGAAAGTCAAATCAAGCAGATCTGTGCTGTCTTAGGAAAAGATGGACACTCATCTTTCTGAAAATAAAAAAAACACTTAAAAATTGATTGAAACTGAGCTTCATATACAAACTAAATTGTTCTTTTATTTTTATTTGTATAACTACTACATAATTACATTTATTTTTATAGGAAGGTTTTTTTTTGAGTATAAAGAAGGATTTGGTTTTTTTTGCTGCTAAGCAGAAACCCCAGAAGTAGAGCCCTATCAATGTTTAAAGTAAAAAAAAAAAAAAAAAAACGGGATCATACTTTTATGATGTTAGTTTTAATACATAAAAAATAAATAAATCAAAGAAATCCTATGGCTGTTTTCTTTTTTTGCTGTATCGAAAACGTACCGAACCGTGACACCTCTGTATCGTATCGAACCGAACCGTGATTTTTGTGAACCGTTACACCCCTAATATATATATATATATATATATATATATATATATATATATATATATATATATATATATATATATATATATATAGAGGCTTTTATATGCTTTGCTGATGATACAGATATAACAGGAGAGCAGGGGTGGGATCATTAAAAGACCATAAGGCAGTCACAAACACCATATAGATTTTTAACGGTATTGTCCAATCCAATAATTCAATCCATTCAAAAAAGATATTATTATATTCCTAAAACTTAATATGCTGCCCAGTCCTACGGTGATATTATACATTTCTCAGTTGTTGTCCATTTCCTGTGCAGACTGGATGGGTAATAGTTGTCTACCCCCTTAGGAATTGCAAAAATCTTTATTTACAAATATTATAATTGGACAGACTGGGGGGTCCCAGATCACACAAGTACATTTTTATGCCAGTCATACACATATTTTCCATAGTTTTAGTGTGTTTTCTAGAGTTCGTTTTTCTTTTATATCAGGGTATAAACAAAAAGATTCAGCTGAACTAAATATTGTGTATATTAATAGGATGCTTTCTCAACACCAATCACCCATTTACTCTGAAATTACGGTGACAGTTTCAAAACATGTATGCGTGAACAACAACTACAACAAAAAGATTCCGAGAGCATTGTTCATTGCATGATGGTCACAGATGTTTTGTCCCTATTATTATTAAAAGCATGTGGTAAAGCTCAAGAGGATGATTTGTGACCTTTAAATAGTCAATAAACAGATGGTGAGATTAAAAAATTGCTTTAAAAAAAGCAAGCCAAAACAACTCTTTTGGCTGAAAGTAAATAGACTCCTAGTAACACTAATTTAGATTAATCTATTTTTAAAAAGACTTGTTGAGTATGAGAGCCTCACATATGAGAGATTGCTTATAGTAGAATATATATATAGTAAAAATCATAATGTATTTAGAAGTCACAGTTATAAAACCATTATTTTAAATAAATAAAAAACTAATTCGTATTTGTCAATAAAAGCGGTTTTATTCAGTAAATATAATGTCAGTACTGTTCTTTGTGTTATGTATTTTGACAAAGTTAACAATTTACTATTTATGTAATGAAGTGTATGTGACCACTGCTGGCATGCCATTCACCTTTGAGATAGATTGTGTGTGTGTGTGTGTGTGGTTTTATATGTAAAAAAATATGGAAAGATTTTAAAAAGAATAATGAAAAGATGGATAATTATTATTACTTTTTATATGTGGTGTAATATATTATATATAGTATAAAAATGACATGACACTCAAATTCTTTGATTTGAATGACAAAAATGATATGATACATGAAAAATATCAATTTAGATCAAACATGCAAGATTTAAGAAATGCATTTCTTCAGTTTGCTCCAGTTTTTTCTTGGACAATCAATAAAACAGGAAGACTTGATCATGCAATCAAAAAGCATGTTTCTGTACTAAAATTCTCAGGAAAAGTTTTTAATGTTTTGATAAGTTTCTTAAAAAGGACTTGTGAGTGGTCTAAGATATAACAATGCTGCATAACCAAAGATTTAAATGAAAATGCACAGACTGTTCAGAAAAGAAATAAATTACTTGTAAGAAAAACCAAGAACAAACACAGTAGTAACACTTAAATTCATTTACATGCAATCAATGCTGTTTGCAATCAAGGCTGGCCCTGCTATAAATATTAATAATTGAGGACAAAGAACGGTATGGATCCAGTTTTTTCTTGGACAATCAATAAAACAGGAAGACTTGATCATGCAATCAAAAAGCATGTTTCTGTACTAAAATTCTCAGGAAAAGTTTTTAATGTTTTGATAAGTTTCTTAAAAAGGACTTGTGAGTGGTCTAAGATATAACAATGCTGCATAACCAAAGATTTAAATGAAAATGCACAGACTGTTCAGAAAAGAAATAAATTACTTGTAAGAAAAACCAAGAACAAACACAGTAGTAACACTTAAATTCATTTACATGCAATCAATGCTGTTTGCAATCAAGGCTGGCCCTGCTATAAATATTAATAATTGAGGACAAAGAACGGTATGGATGTAATTTAATTGAACAATTTTGACCACTACTATGCAGGCGTTTCCCATGCACTTTTAATAAAAATCCAAACCATGGCCATCGTGGGAATGTGTCAGGTAAACCTTCCAGAACTTCAATCTACAAAAAGGCACAGCCTGGCAATAAAACAGGGTGGATCAGACACATTCTTAAATTCTGAGTACTTTTGTGGATTTTCATCCCATAATGCAGTTTTAAAGTCAGATGTTATTTGCTTTAGATGTTAAAGCTCGGTCTTTTTTCCCCCAGGCTTCACTCTCAAGTATTTTAGGGGAGCAATAGGGCATTCTTCAATGAAAATCTCAAATGATCTGAAGCAAATGGAGTTTGACATTAGACTTGCTGTACCCACGAGATGTCTGATGGTGTGGCGTGCTGGTTGCTCTGAATTAAGATCATGTTTTAAAGGAACATTTTCAAAAGCTCAAAAACAGCCCGAGCTGAGTACCGAGACACGAATTGCATGACTCTCTATGGAACATTTGTGCATAAATCGAATTACTCTGCTATGAATATAATTCCCGTGTTTTCTTTTCCTTGTCTGAAGTCCTTTCCCTGAGAAAATAAGCCATCTGAATTTTTGTGTTTTACAAATGAAAACATGTCCATGCAGCGCATTGAAATGTGAGTCATACCATGTTCTTTGATCTGTCGACTTTTTCAAAAAACATTTGCTTTTAATGTCGTGCATTGGTAGTTTGGATTGTTTCATTGAGGCCTTGACTGTTTTTCAACTGCCCAATTTGTCTAAATTCGTTACCCAGCAACGACAACAAACACATCTACAGTATACAGTACACACAACAAAATCAGTTCATGTCCAGCCACAATTGACATATCCTAAACATGCTTTATTATTTTAATGTTGATCAAGAGGATCAATTTTTGCAGTTACAAATAAATAGTTTAGGGACTTGATTTATTAATGCATCATATGACATTGAGAAGCCTATATAATCAGTTACTTTATATATGTATACACTCAAAAAAATGATATGTTGGCGTTAATTAACTTTTTTTTGTCCACTGGTTCCACGTAACCGAGTTAAGTTACCTTTAAGAAAGAATATTAATTTTAGTGAACTTAAGTTAGTTACATAAAGGTAATGTAATGTTGTTTAGTTCAATCAACGTAACATTTATAATTAAGCTTTATTTAATGTAGTTATTTAAGTTCAATTATTCTAAAATTGATATTGTTATGTTTAACCAAATAAAAAAACTGTTTCCGTTTCATTGAGTTTATTCAATAGCATTTTTACAATTTTACACATTTTCCAGCAATCAAATGATTATCAAAATCTAAAAATGGTCTTTATCTGTATCTTCACTTATTACAATAAGTTAAAATATTAATACTATTAAAATAATAGTAATACAAGTATAAAGTAAATTAAAAACAATAAATTATTTACAAAAATATGCTTACAAAAGCATCATAAAATACACTTTTCAAAATGATACTTTTCATATATTACAAAAAACATTCAAAAATAATATTCTGCCTTCAAATGATTCACAAAAATATACTTAGAAAAATTAAGTCTTCTTTTGTAAACTATACTGTACCTTCTTTACACTGAAAAAGCAGATAACACTTCAGTTGTTCAAAGAAAGATTAACATTTTAAAGCAAAGTAACACGATCAGCATTACACCATAAATTAGACCAACCATCACAGAACATGCAATAGCTACACACATTCATCTCTGACATTTGCACCATTTCTGCACATTTGCACCAGACACTTTCTTACAACCACTCCCTATATCTAAAAAACAAACACAAAAAATAAAAAAAACAACATTGTGCATGAAGTCTGCTTCACACAGGTGAGTGGGCTTGACAAACCACATGTAAAAGCATTCTTAATTCTTAACATTCTTTGTATAATTAGCACATCTTGGGTGTACTGCCTCTTCTTGTTGATTTGCTGAATGTCTCCTCAATTGTAAGGTTCTTCAAAAGAGTCTGCTAAATGTTAATGTAACTACTGTAGATTCATAAGGTGGTGTTGCACATCAAGGTTTGTGCTTCATCATGCCCAGCATCCTAAAAATGTCAGATAAAAAAATAAACATTTACCAACAGATCAAAGGTGAAAGGAGGAATTGGTTTAACACGAAAATACAAAATGTTTAAAAAAATTTTTTTTTAAATAGCTTACCGTGTACTCCCTCACTTAGCTTTGAGGATGCATTCACACCTTTTTTTTCCACTGGTGATGTTCTAAATGACATGAAGTGACAATTAGTAATTTACTAAATAATTAGTAGTTAAAATTACTAGTAATTTTTACTGTACATCATTTTAATGTGTGTATAGGCATCTAAAGGCATAGTACCTGGATGATCCACAGTCTCCTCAGCCAGATATGGGATTTTAGAGGTTGAGCTGTAACCCTGAGGAAGAAAATAAATGCGAGTGAGCAAAGATTTGTAATAATAAAATATAATAATATAAATATATACAATTTAGAATAATATATTTATAATAATAAAAAAACACAGCAAACTACTAAACTTAAAAGTTTAAATGTGTTAGATGACCAAACAAATAAGCTTACATTAAATATGTCATTATGCTAGATGTCATCCTACTTAAGTGTCACATATGCTTGTCAATTTTTTTTTTTTAAGTTAACAGGCTTGTATAATAAAAATGTGCCAACACCACCTTTTAATTATTATTATGTAAGTTATCAAAACTGGTATTCAAACTTGACAAACAACTTGACACTCATTTAAAATAGAGACTATCAAATCAAATAAAAAATCAAATCACTTTTTTTATGTCACATTATCAGCAGCACGTCTGCTATGATGAGTGAAAAGCTTAGACTATTCTAACATGACTATTCCTTACTACCAACGTTTGCAACTTTATTTTTGGGGAGTTAATATACACAAAGTATAAAATTTCAAAGGAATGCAAAAAAACTACAAATTTATCTGTCATTAATGTGAAAAAGACTCAGGGAACATGGCAATTTTACAACAATACTATACACAAACACAACAAAGTATAACAAGGGAGTACATTAATGACTCAAATGTTGTCACAGCCTCAATATAAATACATAAAAAGTTAAAAAAAATCTCACCTGTGTGTCCACATTGGGCAAAGCTTTGTGCACGTTCTCAATTTGTACTGTAATCTTCATCTTTTGATTCCCATAATATGGCGCCGAGCTGAGAGTGATCGTTGTGGTTTGAATCTTCTTACTTCCTGTGTTGTTTTGAAACTGCGCATGTGCAGATATTACTCCATCTACTGACCAAAATGCAGTACTGCAAAAGCAACACAACTCCCTTTTATTCATGTTAATTAAGCGAGCTGTATAAATGTGAAAACTTACTTTTTCTAATTTTTTCCAACTCAACACTTAATACACAAACATAAGTGAATTGTTTAATTTAAACATAGTTAAATTCTTTGGACCAACTAAAGCCAAAATTCATTTTTTTGAGTGTAGGGTTACAGCCTAGTTAACATCTTTACTTATTTTAAATTAAGGTTTCATGCATTCTTCATAATAGTAGGGATGATAAACTCCTGGAAGGCCACAGCCCTGGAGTTTATTATCAACCCTACTCCAACACATACTACATAAGCCTTCAAATGCCTTGATTAGCTGAATCAGATGTATTTAATTAGTGTTGAATCTAAACTCTGCTGTGCTGGGGTCATTGAGAAACTAAAGCCACGGTCACACTGGACATTTCTCCCTATAGACTTCCATTTACATGCACGCGAATGAGTCAAACCGGAAGCGCAAGCTTGTGCGACAAGATTTGCAGTTCGCACATTCAACCTTAGTGAACCGTGACCTGCAAAATCGCATTACATAACTGCGTAAGAACAAATGAGGATCAAAATATGACCTCTCTGTACAGAAATTTTAATTATGGACCAATCGCTTTTTTTAAATGGCTAATCATCTTGTTTAATCCCGCCCCTTTTTGAAGCGCCGTACTGTAGAACTTTGCATGCTCAGACTCGTGGCATAATGCTGCATCTCAATCAGTGCAATTGGTCGTTATCAGTAGGTCATGAGCATGAGTTTGAGCACTGGTAAGGACAGCAATGAGCTTGGTTCGCTACACATTGGGCCACAGTGAGTGTGGCATGAGAGCTTCCTCATTGTACATCATCAAAACTGTAATTTATTAGCAACTGCAGATCTAATAGTTTTCATATATTCATTTGAAAATATTTTAAAGTACATTATAGCTGAATAATTTGATTGTTTAATATACTGACAAAATTTCAACCATTAAACAATTATACATTTTTGCTAAATTTATCCTAACATATGTTTGTTCATGATAACAATGAATAATGGATTCTTTTTTGAAAAACGTCTCTTATTTACCATTATTTTTAATGATTTGAACACCATGAGTTTGGGTGCACCCTTGTTCAGTACTCAGTGCACTGATCAGGGCATCAGCGATTTTAAGTGCTGTCTCAGGGCGTACTTACACTACGTGCAGTTGCCTTGAACTGTGCCGAATTGCGATTGTCCACCCTCCTCTCCACCTCGACGACCAGCTCTCACACTGCATTTTGCCTTCCGAATCAGAGCATACTTATGTCATCAATGATGCAACTGTTCAGTTTAACAGGAAGAAAAGCGCCCTCGCTGCGCACTGTAAATATTACTTTAGTTATATTATTTTAGTTGTTTAAGATGCAGTTACACGCAGTCAAGTATTTTTTTCCGAACAGATCCACAACTTTCTGTGCTCATAAATTATCATAAATGTCATCGTGCTGCACCTATTATGAGGTTTGCATCTTTGCGTTCATTGAAAAGTAAGAATGATTAATAAATCCATATGAAACTGTCATTAAAAATGATGTTGCATCTTCAGTTTCGGGCTCAGGCGCTCTTTGCACTCACACTACAAGTGTACTGTTCCAAAACCCAACTGAACCAAGCTTTGGCACACCTCTTCAAACCGGGCCAGGGCCAGCCAACTGAACTGCACCTGGGCCTGATTCGGAGCACTCACACTTAGTCAAACTAACCGGAAAATGTGCCTGTGCATGGTTCAGATAGCCTAGTGTGAGTTGCACTGAGACCTTCCTGCCCTAAAAAATCCCACAATACACAAAGAACATTTACTTAGGGTTGTCAGAAATACAATTTTTAACCACAAAAATTAGTAAACTAAATCTTAGCATAGAATTTTAAAGGTCAAATGCACAATATATAAGATTTTTTAAAAAATTATATCCAAAATCTTGAATAAACAGTGTTATTTTGTTTGTTCAGTTGAGTACTTACACCAAATATTTCTAACTACATTTCTATAACATCTTAATATTTCTAAATATAAATATTTCTAACTATTTATAAATGACAGTTTTTTTTACCAAGGACACCGACCATGTCCAGTGTTGCCTATCAAAGTTAGCATGTCTTATCCACCTTACCTTCTGTTTCCGCCTTTATGGCAACATGACAAATGATGACAACATAGTCTGGTGGACAAATGCGGAAGTAGTAGTTTGCGGCATCTGACAAGTAGCTATATTGTTTTTGCACATAAAATACATAGCCTAAAAATCTACAGTGTACAGGATTTGAAAAAACGTTATTCTCAAGGCCATGCATTCTAATTTCAGCCTTAATGTTACACACCAATAACAGTCGTAAAGTAACACACCAACAAACTGTTATAAGTGGCCAGAATGCGCCTGTGCTTAGTGTAAAACGAGTGAGAGAGATGGAAAGAAAGAGAGTTACCAAAACACACACTTCCCTGTCAAATGATAAAACGCACAAACCGCTCAGTACTGTACTGTGACAAAGGAACCAAAAAGTAAATGAACCATCCCATCCCTTTAGCGCTTATATTTTGTATATTTTGATTATAAACAAGAAGCACATAATGACGACACAGTGTCTCAGTGGTTAGCACTGTCGCCTCACAGCAAGAAGGTTGCTGGTTCAAGTCTTAATTTTCCCTGCTTATGTTTTTGAAAAAATCTCTATCCACATTAAAATGGACAATACGGACTGTGATGCATGTTAAAGGCACGAAGAACCAACAGACTGATATAATGATCCTCATATGCTGAGTTAACACCAAACTGGGAATTACGTATTTGCGTGAGTAAATTGCATACAATGCAATGCAAATGTGAGAACAGAGGCAGAATACCATCCCACAGTTGAACGATGCAAAATATGTATAAACAGATTTGCCTCTTCCGCATTTGGTGTGAACCAATCAGAAAGGAGAAAAGTGTGCACACTGACGTCATGAGGTAAAAACTGGTTGTAGTGTCCACACGCATTTTCATAATGTTGATTGCTGTTTATTTTCTCACTTTACTAATAGGAAAAGAAATGAAAGTTCTCTTAGAGAACGGTGTTTACAGAGGTTTGACTGATAAATATAAATTTGTAGCTAAATTGTTAACGGTGCCAAACAGCATTTTCCTTTCTTTACATTCTTGTTTACATACAATATAGCATTAACACTAGACACTGTGCACGTAATAGATTAATTTTAGCAAATAAAAACGCTTATAGGTTGTGACTCACAATCCACAGCTTCTTCTATTATGGTTGGAGCTGCTGTTTCTTTGAGAAGTTTTTAGCTGAATCCCGCACTGAACTAGGAGAGATTCTGGAAGCTGTTCTTTGTCAAATGCTAGAGCTATATATGTTTTATAATTCTCTGGAACTTAATTAAAATTAAACTGTAAGCGCTTCTGCTATAACAATACATGCCTCTTCGCTGTGTGGGGTGTATGCGTTTAACCTGAAGGGTTTATGACTTCATTAACTCGGATGTATTTTTTTGTAGACCCTAAAGTTTGTTCGCTGTAGGCTTTGTTAAGCTAACTCTGTAAAAGCTAATGTCTCCCTTTGCATTGAACTTTGAGCATCTTACATTCTGAGATGTTGTTTATGTTCACACATCTACATTACACATCAACTAAAGTTTAAAATATGATATCGTAGTGGACCACCCCTTTAAAGCCTCAAATAAGAAAATTTAGGAAGGATAATACGTTTAACATGAACAGGTGTTGTGAGTATAAGCTGCGTTTGCATTAGTTGTGGAAAATATGGTTGATTTTTATAATTTATTCCATGCCACTAACAAAGCAGACACTTTATACTTAACCTTTGAAAATATATAAATATAATTTTTGTTGTTGATGTTTGATTAGTTTTACATAAAAATTCTAATTTTAGTTACTGTCAATGTGCACAAAAATGTGGTATAATATAAATTTTAAAGATCTGTCTGAAAAAGTAACTTAGGCTAAATGTACAACCATCATGAAATAAACCTAAATTTACATTATTGTAATCTGTATTAAGAGACCTGACACATTTCACATGGTTAGCTAAAATCTACTACTTGGAATCAGGATCTTTTTTGAACCTAATGACTATTTGCTCCTGTTTCTTGCCCATAACCTTACAGGGCTAATTCTTAAAACTACAAACACGTCTCGTGTGGCCTGTATTTCTGAAAGTCTGTCCAGTTACTGAAATCTGTGTTGGGAGTACCTAGAGGGAATGGAAGACTGAAACACAGCTGAGAACCATCGTGGTTTGACGCGCATCCAGATCTTTTGGACGCAGGCCAAATTCATGTAAAAACGTTTCCTTTGGTTGTGTAATAGGAGCTTCAGTTTTTATAATTTCATTCTTTGTCCAGTGAGGTCTGTGCTTGGAAAAAAAAAGAATTAAACAAACTGCAAATTAAGCGGTTAATAAAGTAAACCATCATACTGCTGTCTGCACATTTTTACAAAGCCAGTCATACAGAACCAATTCAGACCCAGACTGGCGTATTGGTGGAACGTTGCTGTTTTGGTACACTTTTTCTTATGTTAAAATAACAATTAATCAAACTTTCAAACATTTTAATAAAAAAGTAACATTGGTCAATTTTGTTTGTTTGAACAATCTAATGACTTGTTTCTAAAAACAGTCACTTGTTTTATTTCTGAATCAATCAGCATTGTGATTGAATCAGTTGATTGAATGCTTCAATTACTTGATCCCTAAACCAGTCACTTGTTTTGTTCCGCAGTGAATTGTGTTGTGAACAAATAAACTGAGTGAATGATGCAATGACTCACTCATAAATGAACACAGCAAAAAAATT